TATACTTAAAACTTACAGAGAGAGGACAAAGGCAAAGAATCAGTTAATCTGAGCTAGTGGTCATCAGGCATATACTTGACCGTCACGTACTAATGATCAGCAGATTGATTATCCATTTTTCCATTTTCAACTTAGATTACAAAGTTCAGAACATTCCACTACAGGCAAGCAAGGAGTGGTGTGATTTATGTTGGGTCTCTGTGTTCACTACAGTTTCCATCTAGCCTCCCAGTTACTTCAAAGCAGCCACCCAACAATTCACAATCAATCATTAGTTATCCTGTAAGGGATGGGGGGGGAGCGACAGTCTCTAGGTTGTTTGCTGGTCAACATGGAGTCGCTCTGGTTCAGTTAGGCTCCCACAATGTATCTGCTTAACTCATACATGAAATAATTAAGTGTCTATGCTCTTCATTGTAAAACTGGGCAGCACTAAGTTTCTGTGCTATGCTTTCCATATCCACATCTATTTATACCTAAGTCATCATTACAATAGCAAGGAGGGACTGAGAAAAGGCTAGCTTTCCAAATAGGGTAGACTAGAAAAAAAGGTGCTACCTTGCAGGTAGATATAAGAAGATCAAGAAGTGTCGCTAGAAAAACAAAACAACACCAGGAAAAGATTCTCTAGGGAAGTTTAGGCTTTAGGCTCATGTAAATGATGTGTGTTTAACAAAGAACAAGTAAAACAGGAGAAAGAAGCAAAACACCCAGAGACTCTTCAAGGGGGATTAACTAAGATTTCCTGCTCTACTGGTCAGAAATCATCACAGGGATCTTTAGATGACTCAAACTATTTCAATTATTTGCAGGAAGGACCTCAGTCCTGATTTTCACCTCTGGGTTTCCTTGGTGGAAACAAACATGACAATCAAACTGCACCTTGCCTTTTCATTTTTTTTGTTTGTTTTTCTTTTTTTCTTTTTGAGATAGGTCTTGGTGAATTTCAAAATTAACTAGGTGGGGCTTGAATTTGCAATCCTGGCTAGAACCATGCTTCTTGTACTGTGCTTTCACAGGCATTACATCAGTTAAATCTCTCATTAACCCATCCACGTCAGTGACAGTGGCATTTTACCTATTTTACAAAGGAAAAAATAAAAAAACGTGACTCAAGGTCATGAAGATTAAGTGCAAAATGGCAGGGTCAAGATCAGAGCAAGGTCTTTATATTTCCAGTGCAGTGTTTCTTATACTGCTTGCTTTGCCTTCAGATCTCCAGTGGGTGGTCCAGCACCCCATCCAATTCCTTTTCATCCATCACCCTTCCTAATTTGCTTGCACTTGCACTCTTTCAGGCTGCTGCAAAAGGGCACTAAGTTTGATGTCAGGAGACTGAAATTCTAGTATCTCACTTTTGCTTTCTGGGCCCCTCCAGCCCTGTGGCTATTTCCAACTTTCACTGGTCTCACATACACTGAAAAGTGTTATCTACTGGTTGATTTTTACATTTATAGAGAATTTTCAGAATGCAGCTGTGGCATAAGAGGTGAGAAAGAGCAAGCAAATCGGAGTAATTCCGAAAGGATATAGCTCCACGAGAGTTTAAATATTTAGTTTTGTTTTGGTGAAAAGAATTAATGTGGGGGTACTCAACAGTTGTAGGAACCACAGGCATATACATTTAAATTCCTCTCCTCTACTAATCCAGTTTATTCTGAAATGACTGAACTGTAACCCCCACCATGCTGCTAAAGAAACAATTTGCTGTCCTGTTAGAATCTGAACCAAAAGTGGGTGAAAGTTGAAACATGCTCAGGGTTTTGTTTTTGTTTTTGTTTTTTTTCTAATGGATCAATGTGGTAGTTTTGGTGTATTTTTGTTTTTACTGACTTCTGGAATCAAAGAAATTCTTACTCAGGTCATTTACTCAATTAATGCCTTTCACAGTTTTTAGAGGCAAGACAGCCTAGTTCGTTCCTGTTTGCCTATATCCTTGCCTCTTTTCCTCTTCTAGGAACTTCAGAAATACTGACTGACTCATATGCCTTATCTTAAAGCCAGCCTGTTGTTAATGAATAGTTATCAAGTCCAACATCTCTACAAGCAGGCTTCACCTGGAACACTGGAATCTGATGCTTAAGAGTATAAGAAAACACGCTTTCAGAACAAGTGTGATTGAACTCTACAAACTGAGACACACAAGTGCGGTGGTATGACTAAGGCTGGGAGGGAAACATAAACGTTTCAAAACAGAGAGATTTGGGAAGGGGTGGAAAGAAAGAAATGAATGGGAATATTAAAATGCTTTGTGTTGGGGGTATGACTGTATGGTGCTGGGGATTGAACCCATGGCCTTCCCAAGCTACATGCCCATTCCTTTTTAAAAAAAAAAGTGTTTTTTTTTTTTTTGAGACCGAGTCTAAGCTACTAAACTAACCAAGCTGGACTTAAAATTCCCATCCTCTTGCCTCAGCTACTCAGAATACTAGGCTTACAGGCATGTGCCACCACTGTCAGCTGAACATTTAAAAAAATTAATGAGTGTATGGTGATTTACAAAATCAATTTAGATTTTCAATAAGTATTTTAAAACAATGATATATCATAGACTAAAAAATAAGGTAAGGACAAATACTGTTTAGGAAACTTGTTTTTTAAAACAGCGTCTTGCTATGTAGTTCGGGCTGGCCTTGAACTCGGATGACCCTCCTACCTCAGCTTCCCCATGCTGGAATTGTCTCACTCTGGCCATTTTATATATATATATATATACATACATACACACACACACACACATATAATGCACACACACAAGTCCTAGGTAGTTTTAGAAACTTTCTCACTGCGAATCTTGGTCGAAGTTTGAAAGCGCCTAGAACACAGGACTCAAAACGATCCTGGCAAAGTCAATTCAAGGTCATGCGACAACGCGCCCCCCTCCCGTCCAGACCAGTTAGCTAAAACATGGAGCGGAAACGACCGGCGGGGGAGAGAGGCGTGAAGCCTAGCAAGGAGCAAGGGCACGTCAGGATAAGGAGGTGCCAGGCGCCTTCTATCTGGTTGGCCAACACAGAGGCTGATTTTTAAGCATTTTCCTCAAATACTAAACCCCAAAACTTCCGCGTCCCTTGTCCCTGAAAAGCTTACAAAGGTGAGGGATTCGCCTTGCTCCCCGCGGTGGTCCTACTTGGCTGTCCCTGAACAGATTAGCATCACTGTGGACCCCGGCCAGCCGGGAAAGTGGGCGGGGCGTGGGAAGCGCGGGAAGGCCGGGCCCACAAGGCGACTCACGGCGCGCTCTGCACAGCCCACAGGGGGGAAGCAGGCAGTTCAGCAACTTGCGATTTTTCCGCGGGTGG